AATAATTTTTGGCCAGCTTTTTCTTTATGTTATGTTCCCTGTGCCGGGGGCATCTTAATTTCCACAGTTCTTCTCTGTTCCGTTCCCAAAACGAAACGAAGTAATGCAAACAAAGAGCTCTCTCTCAGCTTTTTTTTTTGGCTTTATTTGCCCCCAAAGATGGCGGCAACCGGAAGTGCACACACACATCGCTCTGGCTGAGGCACAAAGGAGCGCTGGGGCAAAGTCAAAGGCTGAAAAACTAAGGAAAACAAAACATTCTGGCATTTCTAATTATAAGTAAATATTCATACTCACATATCCCAGCCAGCACACACGTATGGGTCCGGAGTGGAGCACTTTAAAAGTTATTTACACACACATACACACTCTCTGAATGGCGGTGGGCGGTGGGGGGAAAGCATGTTAGGAAGCCCGTAATGCATGCTAAAAAGTGTGAGAAAGTACATTAGGGTCACTGACGACTTTGACTGCGCTACAAAAGGGCGTGGCGGGAGGCGTGACCCGGAGAAGAGGAGCAACACGAGCTGAGGCTGAAGCTGAAGCAATGGCAACCACTTTCGCTCTCAACTTGCTACATTTTGTGGCGAGTGTGTGTGTGTGTGTTTGCCATAATGTACAATTTAAATGTAAACAATTTGGCCCCAACGCGGCAAAGGCAACAGCCGTGGCATAAAAACGAGAGAACGGGCCGACTGATGCAGGAGGGGATTGGAATGGAAAAGCAAAGTCCGGCATGAGTTGGAATAAAATATTTAAGAAGCAGCATCGAACGGTTGCTCCATCCGAGCTCGTGTGTGTGTGTACATGGAGCTGGGCTTATGTAGCATCTGCCGGTGCTGCTGCTGCTGCTGCCGCTCTGAATAGTGAAACTCAAATATTTATCTTGGCAATTGCCTGTAATTTGGTTTAGTTCCGACTTGCCACCGTTCTAAATAAACTTTTCATTAGCAGCCATGAAAGCAGCTCAAACAGACGCCGCACACTGCGAAAGGGCTAAGAATATGGTTAGCACGCATTTATGCTGAGCTCTCGCCCTGATTTCAGTTAATTAACTAACTTATATTTTGCGTAATTGACTTTTATGTGCGTTTGGCAAACGTTTCAATCAAAACCCTAAAGCAGCATTGCGCAATCCACCAAGAAGACAAACCCGCAACCGCAGAACAAAACCGCACTGGGCATACAGTGCGTATGGGTAATGTGTAATGTGTCAACCCCAATGGCCCGATCCCAATACCAAATTCCTTGCCATCCCCCAACACTTTCGCTTTAAATATCAAATTGAATAAAATATATTTTTGTTTCTTTGTTTTTTAAAAAAGATCCCAAAACACACAAATATTCGCACTTATTGTACGATTGCCAAATGTTTCTTTTTTCCGCTGTTTTCTTTACCATTGTTATTGGTTTAGCTGCTGTTTACAATGACACGGCACACTTAATGGGCAGCCTGTGAGTCTAAGTTTATTTAACAAAGCGAACTGTTGATTTTCTATTATTGTTTTTGCAACACTTTCCGCTTGCCATGGGTTTTCATTTTGCCCAGAGTTCATTAAACTATTGGACGGCAGCCAGCATTCGCTTGAAATAAGTAAATGCCATGAAAAAAATCAATTAAATGTATCTGCTGTTGTTCTTTGTATATCTTCTGAAAAAATCTTTAACACAGCGAAGGCGGGTGTATCCTTAAAGAGCCGCAAAAGCCTCCAACCACTGCATTATTAATGCACTGTTGTCTTGAGGCTGTGTCCTTGCGGGGATTCGAGGACTGCTGCTCCTTCTCCTGCTGTTGCTGCTGCCTCGCGGCCTAGCCAAATGGGGCACGAAAGGCTGCTGCTCTTGGTTTATGCATGCAAAGTTACACGCTGCGTATGCGCCATTTCCACAGAAAATTTAAAGCTTTAAGGGTTTGGGGAAAATGGAGAAAGCGGGGAAAATGAAATAAAATCCGCTTCATATGTGCGGCTCCAAAGAGAAGGGAATAAGGGAATTCTCAGAATTAAAATATAAATATAAACATATCATCTCAGTTTTCACTTTAAGCAAGTCATACATATTTATTTATTGGTAATTAATTGTTGTTGAAAGGAGAAGAGCTCTGTACACAAAAGGAATTTTAATTTTCTCAAAACTTTCCAAAAGAGCTAATCGATTGAGAGGATTCTGTCAGCACTAACTTAACATTTTAAGAGCTTCACCTCATAAATGAGATTGAGAAAACACAAGAGAGACACTTTCATTTCTAGAAGCATCTTAATTATGTGAAAGCTTCTCCAAATACATTCTCCCTCATTTTCACTTAATTTAGAAACGCATTCGGGAAAACACACACGCTCTCGAGAGTTCCTGTCGGGCATTGTCTTAATTGGAATCATAAAACAGCCATAAGCACTCAACGCATTCGATGGAAATTAATTGATCCATCTTGGGAGCTTGTCAAATGCACCGATGCACACACTATGTGCTACTCAGAAACTCCCTCATGCAGTGAAAATCCCAATTGAATTCGTAGAGAGAGATGCTCTTGGCGCGACCTCGTTCATCTCCCCCCAAAGCCACCGTCCTTGGGTTAAGTAAATTACACGGGCTGCTAAAAATAACCAGAAATAATGCGATGTGTCAAAACAAAACATCAAAAACGAGGGAGGCCCCTGCTTACAGCAGGTAAGCGGCAAAGAGGAGCGCCTTGGGCATCGAGCACTTCAAAGACGACGAATTCGTCGCCGGGCTGCCAATACGGGGGAATTGAATGTGAGCATAAATCATTAAGCACGGGCACGGGGCACAGACGATTCCCGCTAACAACTGGGCAAATGCCAGAGGCAATTATAAATAGATCTGGACTGTCGAGAGCACATCAAAGTTTCCCCTGCAACCCGGACACTGTTTAATTGGTCAGGCAGAGGTTGGGGTTCGGCACTGCATCTTCCGTGTGGGGGGAAACCACATGCGTGCCACATTGTTTAAACCCCACCATTTGCCTTGTATATCCAGGCCCATTCATAAGGATTTACGGCTACGGTGTCGCCTTCCCGTTTTTGGCCACATATTTGCTCAGCCTGCCGCAAAGCCAAAGCGTTGACAAATTGCAATGGCAGCGGCAGAGGCAGCAGCAGCGGCAACCGGAAAAGCAGCAATGGCAGCCATGTTTGCCATTTTGCTCAAGTTGTCAGCGAGTGCGCGCCTGAAAGTATGCAACGGCGCATAACGAATGGACAAGTCTTTGGATTTGCGGCCGAACGAGCTGGGATTAGAGCAGAGAGAGCGCAGAGCACACCCGGGGAACTTCAATAATTTGCTAATATTTTTGCAGCACACGCGTATGCATATAAATTCTTGTTTTCCTCTAATCCAGCACGGGAAATTCCTCTAAAGCTGAAAACATTTCAACATCAAAGCGCAACGAAAACACCAGCACAAATATATATATATTTATACTTTTTGCAGGGTATTATAATTTCAGTCAGAAGCTTGAAACTAGGGGAAGAACTCATTTCCGACCCTATATATCATATATATTCTTGATCAGCATTAAAAGCTGAATCAATCTAGGAAAAAATAAAATTTCAAAATTTTTTCGATTTTTCCCAAAAATGATAAGGGGTTTTTACATGAATTATTAAAAATCTTAAACGGAGTATTCAGATTTATTAACCTTATAAAAACTAGCACAGAACAGCTTTCCGAATTGAAATTAATGCATTTGGCTTGGCTATGATATTTGAAAAACATTGATTTATCCAAAACATTAGCATATAAAAATATCGATTTAATATGACTTGTATACAGATATCTTACCAATTCTCAGTGGTATTTGAAAACAAAGAACCCAATGATTGCCAAAAGTCATATATAATTTGATTTTCAATAAAAATCTTAATAAATAAATAATAAAACTTTGGCATCCGACTAAAAACTAGCACAGAAAATTCTTCCGAATTGAAATTAGTTATACCTAGGGTCCTATGGCTGACTGGAAGGGTATACAAACTTTAGCTTCCCAATGCTAGCTTCCTTTCTTGTTCGTTCTCCCCGTTTTTATTTGCAAATGAAAGCGCTGCCGAGCTGAGTGTCGCCTGAAATTAAGCCGCAAAAAAAAGTAAAACAAAAAGATCGAAAATCGGATGCAGAGGATTTTCACTTGAATTGCATTAAATTTTTTAAACACTCTTATTGCTTTAAGAAACCAGATAACGAGGACAACGACAAACGCAAACGCAGAACAAAAAAAAAAAGTGACAGCCGCATTATTGTTCACCGCCGGACTTGGCTAAGGTGGGGCAGAAATAAAAGAAGCCGCTGAGGCGGAAACAATGTGGAAATTTTACAGGTTGCCCTGTCAAATAAAATAACACAAAACATGGGGCCCAACAACAACACAAGAAATTCACAAGAAATCATTTTTTGTGCAAATGGAGAGGAGGATGAGAAACCGACAAGGACCAAAAAGAAACATCAAGCTCGACAACGGCAAACGACGTTGGTGACGACAACCGGCGAACGGAAGCAGAGCAAGGCCAATGACAACATCGACAAAAACACGGGACAGGAGATGGGGTTGGGAGTGGGAGTTGGGTTTGGATTGGGTGGGAGTTTCCAAAGGGGGAGTAAAAGTGCCAGGTGAGAGCAGGCAAGGAGAGGCAGCAGTCGGAAGCTTTGTGTTAAAATAACAAACAATCAGCCGAATCATGCAGGAAGTGCAAATAACAAATAAATATATATCGCACAGAGAGAGGTATTTGCAGCCGGATCAAGTTCGATTGCTGGCGTGCCCAATAAAATGCAAGAAATTCCACACACAGAAAGAAACCAGAAATCAAAAAAGTCTTATGGGGAAACCTGAATCTCTAAAATAAAATGGATTTAGTCCAGAATTTGTTTAGGTAATAAATAGACATACACAAGATTCCTTTTTAAATGTTTTGTTATAAAATTAGCATACATATTTCCCCTCAGTGCATTTAATAACAATTTGTTGGTTTTCTCTTTACTCACAGTACCCGCTCGATTGGTTTGGGCCGCTTTAGGCAAAACTGTGGAGCTGCCCTGCGACTTGACGCCGCCCACGGCGCAGGATTCGGTGAAACTGCTGCTCTGGTTCAAGGACACCACGGGCATTCCCCTGTACAGGTGAGTGAAACTACTTCGTTTTTTCCCGGGGCTATTGGTGCGTAATCATCCGCTCTGCAAGCCTGCCAGTCAGCCTACCATCCATCCATCTATCCATATATCCTTCCATCCTACCGCTTGTCCATCCATCAGGAGCGTAAAATAATCGTCAACATCCTGTTTCTTACACTCTACGTGCGCGTTTTGGTCCTGTTCCTTTGGCTTATTTCCGGCAGCTGCCACATGCGTACATGTGTGGATGTTTTTTGGGGGCAAGGATGCGCCCGTCATAATCCACTTTGTTATAATAAATGTAAAGCACATCCGATTACGGCTGTCGTTGCTAAAGTGTAGCAAATTTTCACGCACACTCGCACGGACCCGAAACGCGCGAGGCGAGGACCCTTTGGTCCTTCCTCACACAAGGATTTCTTTTTTCTTTTTATACCCTTGCAGGGTATTATAATTTCAGTCAGAAGTTTGCAACGCAGTGAAGGAGGCACCTCCGACTATATAAAGTATATATATTCTTGATCAGGATCAACAGCCGAGTCGATCTAGCCATGTCCGTCTGTCCGTCTGTCCGTCTGTCCGTCTGTCCGTCTGTCCTTCTGTCCGTCTGTCCGTCTGTCCGTCTGTCCGTTTCTACGCAAACTAGTCTCTCAGTTTTGAAGCTATCTGAATGAAACTTTGTAGTTAGCCTTCTATTTACTCTCACTCGTATATATGTCGGAACGGGCCGGATCGGACGACTATATCATATAGCTGCCATAGGAATGATCGTAAAATTTTTACAACAAAATTTTTAACTTTTTCAGTTTTCAATAGAATTGGATCAAATTTAAGATATAGCCATTTTACTATACTCTACAATTTTGTGTAAAATTTTATGAAAATCGGACTAATATATCATATAGCTCCCATAGGAACGATCGAGAAATTAATACAATTAAATTTATAACTTTTTCAGTTTTAAGCTGATTTTCATCAAATTTAAGGTATAGCTATTTTATTATAGTCTTAAATTTTGTGTCAAATTTTATGAAAATCGGACGACTATATCTTATAGGTGCCATACAAACGATCGTTTGATGTAGAAGAAAAATGCAAGTCTGTGTATGTAAAACTGCAAATATAATATGTATAGGTGAATGAAATGAAAGCAGCTATTACTTCATTGTTTTTTAACACAAATATATATAATTTATATTGTATGGATTCCTATTCATAGAAGTTCTATCTGCAAGGGTATATAAACTTCGGCGTGCCGAAGTTAGCTTTCTTTCTTGTTTTTTTTTATAAATTTGTGCTGATAAATTTTCAATATAAATTGTGGCAGCCGCCGTGTGCCCTGCATGCCAAGTGCCAAGGGAATGCCCTCCGTCTTTTGCGTGCCGCAAGCCCGGAGCATTCATTAGAAGGGGGTCTACGACGGGTGGACGACGTCCTGGCTAGGGACTGTTGTGAAAGGATCTGTGCCAGCCGTGAGCCGTGCACGTGAAGTGGTCGGCACTCGATAATCATAAGCAGGGAAAATGCAGCAGGGGCCGCGGAGCCCTGAAATAAACAGAGTAATTTACTAAAACAGCAACAAATTACTGCAATTTGCACAAAGCTGCCAAAGTCGCGAACCGTACTGGGAGGATGAAGGGGCAACTGCACGCAGACAAGCGGCGAGCAAGGACTCGGCACTAAACTCCTCTTCTCCTGGCTCATGGTGTGCAAATTGAGCGTCATTTTTTATGAACGTAAATTATGCGAGGGCTGAGGAGGGACTCAGGCGTATCCCCAACTTATGCTTGCCGCATATGTTTATTTATGACATCTAATAATCGCTACACGCTGCCACGCCCCCTCACTTACGCTTACTTATGACTTCTCCGCCATTATTCTTATCCATTGCAGCCTGGACTCTCGTGGGGGAAACGTGAAGGTGGCACCACATGCGGCCATAGCTAGCGATCTGGGCCAGCGCCTGTTCTTCAGCATCGGCGATAATCCCAAGGATTCGCGCCTGCAGATCAACGATGTAAAGCCGGAGGACGGTGGCGTCTATCGATGTCGCGTTGACTTCTTCAATTCCCCGACGAGAAACTTCAGGCACAACCTGACCTTAGTTGGTGAGTAATTCTAGAGATTTTAAATATATGAAATGATTAATTTCCCTCTCTTCGTAGTGCCACCGGATGAGCCTCGCATCTTTGATGCCCAAGGCAAGGAGATTGCCCAGATGGCAGGACCCTTTCGCGAAGGCTACGAGCTCTTTCTCTGCTGTCAGGTGAAAGGAGGTGAGTTTTACTACATTTTAAACATAAAATTTAAATAAAAAGAAAATAAATAATAAAAGTTATTGTTACTTTTGCAACTGTAGTGTACTTTTTCGTTCTGTGCTGCAGTTTGACCCAGTTATAAGTGTCCTGCGTGCTGGCCTCTTTGTCAGTGCCACGACAACCGCAGTCTGACGCATTATTTACCATTGCACTCGTGAGTGTCAATTGCAGGCAACAAGGATGCTTTATCCTGCATCACCCTAGCACCTGCGATTGCCACTCGCTAGTCACCAGTCACCGTCAGGCTGAGAGACCCGCATCAAAGCTATTACTCATGTCCTTTTCTTTTTTCTGTTTGTTGTCATACCAGGACGCCCGCCGCCGAAGGTCACCTGGTGGCGCGACAACACCGAGCTAATCGGCACCAGTCACACCTCCGTGGAGGAGGGTGCCACCGTGATGGTAAATCAGCTGCTGATTGGAACCACCACCCGCGACTTCTATGGGGCACGCATCGAATGCCGGGCCGGGGGCACGCGACTGGTGGATCCGGTCCGCAAGGATGTCACCGTACAGGTTCACTGTGAGTCTACCCTTTATATATACATATATATATATGTAGTTATCCCTTGTCCCATCGAACTGACTTGCAAAAAGTGCTGCTTTTGCCAATAATAAAGTCGGGAAACTATTTGCTGATTCTTGGACGTTGATGCACTAAGTTCAGTACATTCAAGTGGCCCGTATGACACCAGGCACGTGCCTGTTAGGGTTAGGTGTTAGTAGGCGCGATGGAAAATATAGGACAGAATACGAGGAAAATTGAACTACCGGCGTGCTGCCAGATTGTTAGCTTGCATGCTTACTAAGTGTGTTAGTATTAAAGATTTTAATTTAGGAAGGGTATCTACGTTAGAGATTAGTGTGTACAAATCATTATAATTTGCACATAGCACTCTAAAAGGTTCATGCAGTTCAAAGGAGGTCCTGCAGTGGCGCAACACTAATGGGATATAGGATCTAGTAGTTCTACATGGTACATGGAAATTAAGCTGACTCAACAAGTCAGCACTTTCCACATCACCATGTATAAGGTTAAAAATAAAGGTTATCCCTAGCATCGTTCTACGATTGGCTAAGGACGGCAAGTTTATTAATAGGAGTCTACTAGAGTAGGAAGGTAATCTTTGGTTTGCATCCCAATTTAAACCGCGTAGAGCGAAAAGTAAAAAGTTCTTTTGAACCGACTCAATGCGTTTACTATGGACGCCGTACTGAGGGCTCCAAACGCAGCATCCATATTCTAGGATAGGACGAACTAAGGAAGTATATAAGGATTTAGTAACATAGGGGTCATTGAATTCCTTCGACCACCGTTTAATAAATCCAAGCACACCCTGGCTCTATTCACCATAGACGAAATATGATCAATAAAGTCAAGTTTTGGGTCCAAGCGGACGCCCAAATCGTCAACAGAATTAATTCTTTCCAAAGAGCAGCAGTTCAGCGTGTAAGTAGCAAGCTTAGGACGACACGTGAGAATGTCATTAGCTTGCATTTCGAGTCATTTAAGTTTAATAAGTTTACACGGCACCAAGTTTGAAAATTATTAAGATCTGTTTGTAAATCCGACTGGCAGGCAACGTCATTGTATTGCACGCAAAGCTTGACGTCATCCGCGTACATAAGTACTCTGGAGTTAGTCAAGACTTTGGGCAGGTCATTTATAAATAATGTAAACAATAAGGGTCCCAAATGGCTTCCTTGCGGGACGCCAGATGTAACCCTTAGAACATTGGATAAATTATTCTTAAAGAGGACCTTTTGCGTCCTGCCATTCAAATAACTTGAGATCCAATTAAGAAGATCACTTGGAAAACCCATTGAATCGAGTTTTCTAACGAGGAGAGAATGGTTAACAGAGTCAAAAGCTTTACTGAAATCAGTATAGATTACATCTGTCTGACAATTATTATGGAAGCCCTTTATAATATAGGAAGAGAGCTCCAAAAGATTTGTTGTTGTTGATCTTCGCTTAATAAAACCATGTTGACATGGAGAAATAACCGATCTACAAAGGTGCTGTAAATGAGGGGTGATAATATTTTCAAATAATTTTGGGATGGCCGACAACTTAGAGATTCCTCTATAATTGCTGGCATCCAATTTGCTACCTTTTTTGTGGAGAGGAATAATAAGATTAAGGTGAACTTGTTTACAAAACAATTTAAAGAGCTTTAAAAGTTTATAGAACTCGTTAAAATGTATTACTTAATTTAGGTGAATTGTGTAAGGCCACTAAGACCAATTAATGGATTATTAAATTATTGATTCATGTATAACTTCCACAGAAAAATAATAAACAAGTTTAAGAGAATAGCTTTTTCAAACTACATATTAGTTTGTTGAACATACATATTTATAAAGCAACATTTTTCTAAGCAACTTTTTAATTTGTACAAGTTTTCAAACTTTATTAACAAACGAGAGTGGAAACTAACTTTGGGAAGCATATACACTTAAATTATAGGATTGATTTGGAAATCAATCATATAAGCTTAAAATATTCGCATTCTTTAAATATATAATTGTAGATATATTTGCATGAAATTTTGTTTGATAAATCAAAGCTTAAAAAACGCATAACTTTACCGAAAAAGCATTAATTTTAATTTGGAAATCGTTCCCATGTTAGTTTTTATGAAGTTCATGAATCTGCATACTAAATTTATTAATTTAGAAAACTCAAATTTTTGCTAAATTTTGACAATTTTAACCCCTTATAATTTTTGGCAAAAATCGAAAAATGTCGAAATTTTATTTTTTGCCCGGACATGGCTAGATTGATTCAGCTTTCGATGCTGATCAAGAATATATTTGATTTATGGGGTCGGAAATTACTCCTTCTCTTCTTACAAGCTTCTGACTTAAATCATAATACCCTGCAAAGGGTATAACTATGTATATGTTTAAATTTGTTAGAAATATCTTTGAGGAACATAACTATATAATAACTGTTCTTTTATTAATAAATACATTTTATTCTCTTAGTAAAACCTGTTCGTGTGAAGATTATAACGCCCAACGATCTTCTGACGGCTGGGCAGCCGATGCCCATTCGCTGTGAGTCCTGGGGATCCTATCCGGCGGCCAAGATCACCTGGCTACTCGATGGCGAACCCATTCGCAATGCCGAGGTCACCGTGCACAGTGACAAGGAGGTGAGTACAATAGTAGTTCCCTTCCCTTCCCTAGTTCTGGCCAAATTACCCAACATTTTAGCACTATTTTGCGGGGGAGCAGAGAAAGTTTTATTCTTGTCCGCCATTCCCAGGACAAGGCAACTTTGTGCCGGAAAATTTGCTTGCAGCGTTTGACATTTGATAGCTGGCCGCAGTGCAGCCACTCGTACACATATACAAGAATATATATATATTTATATATATAGCATAGAGTGCACTGTGCAGCGCTTAATAGCTCAGGCAGACCATTGGGTGACCCTAAAAAGCAGGAGCAGGACGAACTTTTCCAGCATCGGGGGGAGGAGCAGACAAGTTGACTTTTAGCCAGCTTCTCTGCGGAAGAGAACCCTTGGCTCCTTTTGATGAACTGCACTGGGGAAAAGTTTTGCCCAAGCTGCACAAATTTGCACTCGTTGGAAGGCCATTGATTCGGCTAATGTGCGAATTTTTATTTGAATTTATGTTCCTCGAACCCAACTACTAATGGGAGTCATTCCTTTCACTCGAGTTCGCATTTATCAGGATGCTGGGGGGATTTTTAGGGGACTCTGAAGATGGTTCAGTTTTCGGCATCCATTAGTTCTTCTTCGAACCACTGTCTTTTTCGCTTTCTAATTATGCCATGGAAACGGATAGATGCTGCCAAACGTCGCCGGGCATTAGTCAGCTCGTGCATAACCAACTGCCCTTCGATCCCGGGGACAGTATTCCACATACACGCAGGACGAAGGACGAAGGAAATAGGGAAAAGTCGGAAAAGCAAACGCTTGTTATTTTGCAGGCTCTGGCTTCGATTGTTGCCAAAACGTGGCTCGACTCTGGTTTTCGGTTCTCCGGGTGACGTCGTAACTTAATACCCAGTTTGCCATCAGCTCAGAGCTGAAGCTGAAGCTGGTGCTGGTGCTGGTGCTAAAGTCGAAGTCCTGGTGGCCGGACATCAGGATGGTTCACAAGGACAAGGGCTTAGCTCGAAATTCGACTCATTATTTTCAAAAGACCAAGCTGGGGAATGCAACTAGAGAGGCACACACCCTGTACTAAGAAAACCGAGTGGGCATAGAACATCCCATAGAAGAGGAAAATATGAACAAAATATCGGATATCATATTTACATGGCATTATGCCAATTAAAGTACTGCAACAGCAAGAAATATAAAGTCCTTTACATGGGGAGAGAATATATTATTATTCTTCTTTTAAAAACTGTTAATAATCGATACCTTTTGTTACCGTTTTTTTCCTGCAGGATGGCAATATCACTACGAGCATCCTGACACTGAAGGTAACATCGGAGAATGATAATGCGGAGCTGACATGTCGCGCCACGAATCCTTGGTTCTCGGGTGGCGCCATCGAGGACAAGCGCATCATCCGAGTGGCATGTAAGTACACACAGGATATGCTCCTGCTCCTTGCAGGCGGCAGGTGAGCCTGGAACCTGTTATTAGCCCCGCCTTCAATTATAGCAACAATGCAGCTAAAGGAGGCTGGAACCGGGTCTGGGTTGTGGCTTCAAATCCCAGGCCATGGCCAGGAGCGGCTTTTGTGTATCCTTTACACAAACTGCCCAGGTCCTGAAATGCGAGTGTGTGTGTGTGTGCACTGGGGAAAGTCCAATTAGAAGCATATTACGGCCAGAGCGTAATTTTATTAGGGCCAACGGAGCCAGAGGAGAGCTGGAGGCCACATCAACCTGTTGGCAGGCGGTTGCCGCTAAGCTGCTTATAAAATGCAGTCAAGTTGACTTCGACGTCGTGTTCTTCGACTTGCCTTGATTAAATTTTCACCGTTATGTTTCTATTGCTCTCTTTTTTTCCATTTTGCTGGCCTCCATAATATTTGCAACATCCGCTTCCGGCTTCCGTTTTACATTACATACCCTCCTCCGCTTACGTCGATATTTTTGACGGGATAAAAAAGCAAAAGGCGTTTACACTTTAAGAAAATGTGTAGCATCAAGTTTACATCTCTTGGTATTTTCCGGTGTACTAATTTGCAAAATGCATTATTTATAAATTTACATTTGCTTAGCTTAATGAAATCTTGTATACATTTTCAATCAGCTCCTTAATGGCCCATTAGGCAGCAGTCGCTTTTTTCTTCAAGTGTGGCACACTCAAGAGGGCTGAATTACCTGCACTCAAATCAGCAGCCGACTTGATTCGCTTGCTTTTCATTTTGTGCTTCTTTTTAATAATTCACCATAAACGTCAGCATTTTGTCCGCCGCCCCTTTGGCCCACGCCATTGACATTTGGTCGAGACCCCAAGTCCAGAGTTCGGAGTTCGAGGATGTGGGGGCACACACTATATAGTTCGGACAAAGGACCGACCGGAGCCAAGTGGCGCCGCCAGTCTCCGACGCGTATTAGATTTTTACAACCGTAACTAATAGTCCCATTTGGCGTGTGGTCAAGAGGCCGTGCGGCAGGCCGGGTCCTTCCCAAAGGATGTTCTGGGGGGCCAAACGGCAGCTGGGGCTAAGTACATTACGCAATGGCAGCCCAAGATGGACACGGAGACGTAGATGGAAATGGAGATGGAGATGAGGACGGAGTCCACCTTGTCAGCCATTGCCGTTTATTATTTTGACTTTTATACAGCCATTCGCTGCGCTCATTAAGCCGGATGCCGCACTCACTTATCCGCATCTTCTTCTCTTACAGATCCGCCCACGGTGTCGGTGCACTTGGCCAATGAGGATCCCAGCAGGTTGGTGACACGAGCCGAGGGCCAGAACGTGACGTTCAAGTGCCGGGCGGATGCTCGTCCGCCGGTTACCAGCTACTCCTGGTTCAAGAACGTAAGTGAGCCCCCTGATTTCCTACTTCCTTGATTCCTTCCTGTACCACAGCTTTCATTCCACCCGGGGGGGCTAACGACCAACAGCTGACGTGTATCAGCAACTCGACAGACACTTTTTCGAAATTTTTATTATCAATTGTTTCTGGGGGCCCAGAGGCGTCGACATTCCTGCGGCCCCATAAGCAGACACTCTTGCGGTTTAATTTCATTTGGCAGGACCGCTTAAAGGGGCCCAGGACTTGAGCTCACATTCCGCCAGGCGCTGGAGAGGAATGTGACTCTGGGATCGAGGTCAGTGGGTGGGAATGCCCGGACTCATTTCTCAAATGTCTTATAATTGGCTCATGATGTCCATTGAAGTCCATTCGTGTTGCAAATTATTTAACTATTAATCAAGCGACAAATAAACCGAAAGAGATTGCCAAAGTCTCCATTCCGTTCGTGTTTCTATTTCTTTTCTGGATGGATGACCGGATGGCCAACCATTGTTGCCTGACTTTGACTTGGCCTGGGTTTCTATTATTAAACCGCATGATTCTGACATCCTTTGACAGTTTTGTCCACATGGTCACATCATCATTTTTCATAACTAGCAGCAAAAACCATAAACCCGAGCTCATATTTTCCCTTCACTCTCCTGCCATTTTCCTTCGAACAAATTGCCGAAAAAAAGAAAAAAGGAAAACGATTTGGCAGGAGGGCAGGAAGGAGGTGGTGCTTTCGAAAACTTCTCCTTATTTAGGGCACTTTGATTTTTGATTTTCAGTTCGCCTCTTTCTGGCTGTGGCATTAATAGGCGGAGAGAAAATGAGGCAAGGAATTATGAAAAACGAGTGGCCAAATGTGCAGAAAAAGTTGCAAAGAGCCAACTTTGTCACTTCTGCGAGTTGTTCGACGTCAGTTCGCCATATATAGATTTTTATTATCAGCATGTTTTTCTCCGCATTTCTTTTGCGTTGTTCACCCTCACAACTTTTCAGTGGGTCGAGCGAGCAAAGTTTTAAAGTTTCCTCAGTTCCGGACAAATTAATGAAACCCAACGAGGCATGGGGCATGGCAATCGAATTAAAGCAACTTTCGAGCGAGCCCCCACAATTGTGTCGTCTGTGTGTGTTCCCAACTCTGGCATTGTTAAATGCATTATTTTGCAAGGGCAAATGCAATTATTTACGCTCTCCATCGCTCTTAATGAAATTTACAAATAATCAAATGATGCAGCACGGCCAATTTGCGGCGTATCTATAACGCGGAATTCCACACTCATGGCAGGAAACCAAAGGGGGTGCTAATTAGCTGCCAATGATATGCACATATGTGGGCGAACTTAAGCTATTTAAATTGCATTATAATAATTATTATTATGTATTAATTAAATGCATATGCAAATGCCAGCAGCATGAATTTTGCAACTAAATGCATAATCGAGTTATTCAAGAGTCAAGCTGTGCTAATGGAGCACTTGTACTCGCGCCGAGTCACTTGTGGGCATCGATTGCCAGTGAAATGCTTTCTGCTCCTCCACCCTGACCATAATTTAATGACCATCCGAGTGCCGCCTGTCAAATGTCGAATGCCAAATGCCGGAATACCGAAAATACAATATTAATTTGATTTAATAAATCCTATACGTGGGCGAGAGGCCACATTAGGCATATGAGGCAACCACAGTGCCAGGACCACTGTCCCACTGTCCGCAAATACGATTATTAGCAAATAGTGACCATCATGGAGCCGGGTGGAAGGAAGCAGTGGCTCCATTGCGGTTGCCATTTGGTGCTGGCTGTGATAGTGGTTGCGGGTCCTGCGGTCACTCGACAATGCATCCGGCAACCACCGCAATTGGGGGCACATCTAAGACCATTTGGACAGAAATTCTTTTCAACCATATGTGTGTCCGCCAGCATTGTTCATTCAATACCATAGCAAAGTCAAGACTATACCTATTTGTTGAGGATAATTTCCCTAGAAACACATGCTAATTAAGAGGTTAAACCGCTTACTTTTATTAAAGCTTAAATGTTTAACTCCCAAACTCAATAAAGGAAACTAAAACTCTCGGAAATTCAAGACCTAAGCGATCTAAAATAAAATAAATACCTCCTTTCCCCCCATCACCATCCTCACTCCTTTCTCACATGTAAATTTAAACCGCTCGTCAATTTAAAGCGAGTAATAATATCGCACCAACTTGTTTCGAATATTTCAGGGCATGCGAATGTCGGGCGAGAGCACGGAAATAATGCACTTGACGCAGCTGGAGCGGGAAAGTGCGGGAGCTTATGCCTGCGGAGCCACCAACACGGAGGGCGAGACAAGGAGCTCCAGCCTCACGCTCCGAGTGCAGTGTAAGTACAAAATAAAATGTGTATACGCGTACACAAACTATGGCGGCAACGTGATGGAGTTGGAGCATGGCGGCGCACCGGAAACGGAAGCTGCAGAATAAAATCAAAATCAACAAGCAGCCGGGGCTGGCAGCGTATAACAGTCAGCCAACTTTTTCGGCGGCCAGCGGATGGGGAAATTGCTTAGAAATGATGCATGACCATGTCTCTAACTCCATCTGTAACTGTCGGCTGTGTGGGGGGTGTGGCGGGTGTGGATTCTGGTGTGGCAACAGTGTCGGGGTGCGGCCTTGCCTGCGGTTGTTGCGCGGCTTGTTTACAATTGTAAAATCCGTGCTGCCGCTGGCCTAAACAACCGCCATTGATTTATTCACACGCACAGACAAAACTTTCGCCTATAAATCCAGTAAAAATACTCGCCCCGGCAAAACTTTTCATAAACCTCACAGTCCGGTTTTCCAGTTCCCTGCGCCCCCAGGCAGATCGGGGAAGTTGCCTTTTGGCCATTTTCTTTTTTTTTTTTTTGCCGTGATTAATGTGGATTTCATATACTACTACTCGCACACAAGCGATTTGGTTGCATAAATCAGAAAAGGGAAAAATACAGAGCTCTCCAAGCTGCACAATCGATGAAGCCCGGGGACCAAGACCTGGACCAAGACCAAGACCTAGACCAATACCAAGACTTTCAATCCGACCAACCGAGTGAGTCTTAAGTACACTATTTGGTCGGGTTCGTGTACCCTCAATCTGGCAAAGAAATTCCATTTCAAAAGCGAAGAGCAGCAGCAGCGGCAGGGATTGTAAGGATGGCGGTGGTGCGTAGCCCTTTTGTTGCCGCCTGACGTAGCTTCAACATTTATTGTGTTGTCAGCTTACAAGCAAAAATGTCTTTTCATGTTGCGAGCTGTGCCATCGCCATCGGTTCCGGAAAAGTGCCACGTTTCTTTGGCTACCAGTTTGACAATCTGAAATGCATTTCCTCCGCCCCATTCCCTTTTCCTTTCTTCAAGAGCTGCACGACAGTTTAAGTAGTTTATATTTGAAATTATGAAAGTTTTCCGAGAGTCTTTGCATTGACTTTGGTTGTGTGGGTGGGTGGGATTTAGGTAACTTTCCCCATTCCCACATTCGGGCACACACACGAGCAAGAGCACGAGCAACAAGTTCGCAGACACAGACAGATGGCTTAAGTATTCGACGCTGAGATGCAGCTGACTTGTGATAAAAGCCAAAAACGTAGTAATGAAGCCTCGAATGCTTATCTGCCTTGGCGTGACTTACATTTTAAAGGCGGCTTTCATCGCCGGGCAGACATATAATCTCAGATACTAACACAGAGCCAGTCAAAAGAACACGCAGAAAAATTGCTGAAATCTTTTCAAATTACTAAAAAAGAGAAGAACGAAAAAATCCTCAAGGAATCGGGGGAAATCAGATATCAAATATAGTTATATATTTAAAAAAAAACAAACAGAAATACTTTTCTTGCCGTGTTGCAGTTTATAAACACACTCTCCCAGCGACAGACTGATTCTCCTTGGGGGCAAGGCAGTACTTCCGCATATCTGCTCTCATTTTCCAGGCAAGTGAAAGTAAGCTCCGACTGACTCGCTTTTCTTTCGATACCTGGCACACAGATTTTCCCGCTAAGCTACACACAGGAGCACAAGAAATAAAAAAAAGAAGAAGGAAGAAAAACCCCTCGTTCGTGGAACGGAAACATGTTAATTACTATGCTCAAGGCTATGTAGCTGGCTCGACTTCCCTTTGGATTTATTCTCCTCGTTCTTGCCTCATATTTTTGTGTGTATTTTGGGGCGGGCATGGTTTTGCTGGGGGTTTCCCCCAGAGAGGGGTGTGTTTGCTCTCCAAGGGGGCGGTTGAGCAAATTTAAAATGGAAACTTTTTGCTGCCTAACAACTCGATGGTATATATATTTATGAGGCTCCCACTCACGTTCCCATTCCCGCCTGACCCATCTCTATCTTTCCCTCATTTTTTTTGCAGTCTCCCCGCGGTGTAAGTCGGGCACGGAGCAGACCTCCATTGGAGCCGTCAGCCTGCACTCGATTCTGGTCAAATGCGAGGTGGATGCCGATCCACCGGACTCGGTGCGTTTTAGCTGGACGTACAACAATACACGTAACGTGTCCCCGGTAAGTAAGAACTCTTAGTAAAAGTTACAGGAAAAACAAGAAAATAGAAGTTTTGATACCCTTGCAGTTAGCCATAGGATCATTGCCACGAATGTACAATAAATCATTACTTAATTTCAAATTGAAAAGATTTCCTGTGTTGACTTGTGTATAGGACACCAGCACATTGGGCTTTAGTATTTAAAGTATTCAAGATTTTATGAATTTTTCACAATTTTGAAAAATGAGTTAACTTTTTTGTCGACTTGTAGAACCCAATGTTTTATTAATTAATATTTTAATTGCAAATTGAAATAAACATTTGACTTAAGGCATTCCTTTCCCTTTTGGGTTACATTCACCACTAAGAAAACATTGAATATGTGTGTTTTATATTTGATATTTTTATATGCTAATTTTTGAGTAATTCCAAGTTTTTCAAAAATCATAACTAAGCCAAAAATGCCTTAATTTCAATTCGGAAAGCGTTCCCATGTTAGATTTTATAAGGTTAATAAATCTGCATACTCCATTTAAGATTTTTGAAAATTCCAATTTTTGCAATTTTTTATGATGTAACCCCTTATAATTTTTCGCAAAAATCGAAATGATGTCGAAATTTTATTTTTTGCCCAGACATGGCTAGATTGATTCAGCTTTCGATGCTGATCAAGAATATATATGATTTGTGGGGTCGGAAATGATTCCTTTACTTTTTACAGGCTTCCGACTGAACTAATAATATCCTGCAAGTTGAATAAATCGGAAAAGGAACTTAAATTTGAAATACTTTACCTTTACTTTTATTGTGTTAAAATCAAGTGCAGAGTCCAATATTTCGCGTGTGCCCGGACTGGGGCAAAGGTACATAGCTTGTCCCGGAGTCCAAACCAAACTTATTGTGTCTGTAATTATGCCGGGGAACGTGCTGCAACCGGAGTCGCAATTACGGGAAATGCCAGCCAAGTTCGAAGTCGGTCCGCTATTAGCAGAACTTGTGCTAAATACTCGAGGGTTGTCTGGGATTTTCGTTCGACAATTCAAGGCAGACGGCAGACGAACAATGTCAGCCGAACGAACGAGCCGGGGAGCCCAGCTACGTACGTGACTGAATTAAAATTTAATCAAAATGTATAAATTCGGGAAGCTGGGAGGGGGCCCCGGGGTCGGGGCTTCGGCATACCTACATTGGAGGGAATTTAAAATGCAAACCGTTTAGGTGCAAGGCAAAGGACTGCAGAGCTGGCACAAAAACGAGAGATAGATAGGAAGCAGGAGCTGGACCAGCACTTGGGCATTGAGTGGGCGAAGGTCTGACCAAACGAACCGAAAGACTTGCATATGTGACTCGACGGCTGTGGGACAGCTGTGCACAATAAATAAAGTAATTCATTTACCGCACAAGTTATTTGAAAATCTGCACGAAAATCCGGAGAGCCACCGGGATGACTTATCCCGTCTCCAATCCAGTTTCGATTCCATTTGCCTTGCAATAAAAACTTATTTGCCTTCAAATTTTTATGCTCCGTTTGGTCCCTCCTTCTGGCCTGGGGTTTGCTTTGATTTCGATTCGGGTTGGAGTCCGTTTCGAACTGCATTTGATCCTGCCTACGTCCGCACAATGTGAGCCTTCCTAATCCTTCGGCTTCTTCTTCTTCTCCTACATTACAGGTGCTCAACTCGAGGATACAATCGAACGGACTGGCCAGCACAGTGACGTACCTGCCGCAGACGGACTCGGAGTTAATAACGCTGGCCTGTTGGGCAAGCAATGCGGTGGGCAGACAGACGACGCCCTGTCTGGTGCACATCCTCCCTGCCAGTAAGTGGATGGTGGAAGGAAGCCGAGTCGAGTCGAGTCGAGTCGAGGAAGTTGTTGCCACAAGATGCCGGCACTTACCTCCACCTTTGCCGCAATTTAGAGGAGACGCCACCGTTGCTGGCACTGGTGTTGGCCCCAGTCTATCTCTTATGCACACATAAGGATCTACTTACATAATTGGCGGCTCTCTGTGTGTGTGTGTGTGTGTGGGGAAGACGTTATACCTGTACCATTGCCGGTGTCGGTGTCAGTGTCGGTGGCGGCGTGTACTTTGCCAAAATGTTGCCAAATAATCCTTGGGCTGAACTGCCTGCCCGTACTGCAGGACTTGGCCAAATTCGGTTGTTATTAATGCAAACTAGGATAGGCGTGGATATGCACTCGGCGAAAGCGTTGTCTTTGCTTGGAATTCACTTGAATTCAGATTACCATCAAGTCTTTCTTGAATTAGAGTAATATTTATTTAACTTGACTTAAATTTTATTAATGTTTTTCCAAGTATTTTATCCGCATTTTATTCACTCCTCCCATCGCTTAAAATCAAAGGCAACTTTATAATTTCCCGGGTGTAGTCCTTACTCCTCCATTTTGGCTTCATCGTGGCAACGCCTTCATTTGCGGCAAAGTGGCGCTTTAAGGCAGCGGGAGAGCTGCTTTTAAATGCAATTACGGACGGGCGGCCGGTGGGCCATTAAGCCCCGGCTTGTCCATGACTGTGACTATGACTAACTGCTATCTGCACGGCTCTTTTCCAGATACTCCGGAGGCGCCAAAGGCCTGCGAACTGCGCAACGACACCGTCCTGGAGGTGGTCTGTGTAGCCGGCAGCGATGGCGGCCTTTCGCAATACTTCATGCTGGAGGTGGTGGGTGGGGATCTGCTCTACTCCCCCGATTCTGGGCAGGCACAGGGACAGGGCCAGGGCCCCAACCGGGGACAGTTCAGCGAGGCCATTGGCCTGGGCGACAACGAGATATCCACGCTCAACGACCAGGTGAGTGCAGCATCAGAAGCAGCGGGAGCAGCAGTCCCTGGAATCGAGTTAACCTAAGTTGATAAGTTCTAGCAAGCAAAACGCAAATTGCTCAATTAAATTAAGATTTACTCACGGCTCGGCACACAGCCGGCAGCTAGAAGCGCCAGATTGAAGCCGTAGCTGAAACTGAAGCTTAAAACTGACGTTGAAAGCTGAAAACGGAAAACGGAAAACTGAGAACTGAGAACTGAAAACTGAAACCGAAACATCACACAGTGTGTGGAGCGGGGAGCAGGGACTTGGCAATAATTCACTTGAAATCCATATGGTCAATTAGTGTGCATGTCCTCTGACTTTTCTGCTTGAATTAGTAATAAATATTTGGAGCAGGCGAATGTAGCGAAGAGGGGTCGCTGCAGGACTTTCTCCAGCCCACTCGAGTGTAAAAGGGACAACATAATTAATGCTTGGGGATCCCGGTCAAATGCTTGCACCCTTTGTCCCCGCCGCACGCTGCTGAGTTATTAAATTATCTCTGTCACTCGTCGTAGATGGGAATATCATATGAAAATTTCATTTCATTTCGTTTGGCTGCGCTCTCAGCCCGAGCGGACTTCTCTACTGATGAAGCGCTTTGCCGGGCGAGTTTATTAGCAAAGTAGCCAAGCGCAAAGCTCATCACGAGGATGGTCATGAAAATGAAAATGAAAATGCTATGATGATGATGATGGCAGGGACTCCTCCTTCTCCTTCTCCGTGTCCCGTGTCCTGGACAGAGAGTATGACCCACGCGTTGGTCCGTTGGTTGGCAGCTTTAAACATTCATGCTAGATAAAGGACACACTCGGACTGGCACTCGCACTCACACACAGGACTCGACTGAGGCTGGAAAAGTGCCGCAAGGACAACATAAATTACTTACGCTTACTTGAGTGGGAATTTGTGCGTAACCAACGAAGCTCACTCGATTGTGTCCCATTACGGCAAACGGATATTCAGTTTAAAATTTCAGACAGTGTCCTGTGCCTGTGTTTCTGTTTCGGTTTCAGTCTCGGCTCCTGATCCTGTACAGTTGTGCCTCCAAAACAGTTTTCGGGCATGAATAATTATTTATGCGTTGGGTCCGCTCTGGACCGAAAAGTTAAAAATACATGGCATACTTGGCAGCGTATGGCGAGTGAATTATAAATGCGCCTGTCGCATCCCCGACTGTGTCCTTGCCATATTTGTACATACATATGTGTATATTCTATATATTGAAATGTTTTGCTTTGTGTATAATTTCAGGCGACATCTGCACCCATCTTTCGCATGCAGGAGAACAGTCCACAGTTTCGTTTGAATAATTTAGAGCCAGGACGTGAATATCAATTTTTAGTTTACGCCGTCAACGCCAAAGGACGCAGCGAGCCGCCGGTGGTGATTGAGAATGTACGCGTGGCCGCCCAACTGGGACCATATGGTGAGTGTAACCCCCCCTCAAAAAGAAAAAAAAAGAATCCTAAGATACTTGATAGCCGACAAGCGGAAACTGAAACTGAAACTGGAAGAAAAACCAAATGGGAGCCCGGTCGGCCGGCCTCTCTTGCTAATCACATAAACAGCGCAAGTTATGGCCTTTCCGGTTGCTAGTTGTGGGTCACTTCTCTTGCCGGGCCAATAAAGTACCCCGATCCTGAGCCAGGCTCTCTCTGGGTCCTGCGACTGAAACTGAAACTGGAACTGAAACTCGGAACAGCTGAGGACGGAACTGTCTAATTCAACGCTTGACTGCATTTTCAAATCAACGCAAGTTCGGGGAAATCGTCTTCAATCAGCCGCCGCGAAAAGTTCGCACATGGCGTCACACTCACACAGAGGGAAAAGGCAGAAATAAGGTTTCTCTGGCAAGTGGCATCCGACTAGGAATACCCTACAGTTCCTTTACTACAAGATGGAGGTATTTCTTTATGATTTAGACAGAGTACACCCCTCCAAATGATGAGTATTGAAATCCCATAGCCAACCTGAAGTCTCCTGGAGGAATGCCTCCTAACTGCCTCCAGTCAGAGTCAGTGGATGCCCGGGGCCTTTGCCCTTGAGGACGGGACGCCCTTTTCTAATCCAGTGACTGAGTTATGCAGTGAAGCGGAAAGCATTTCAGCATTTTCCATCAATTCTTTGAGTGGGGCACACGCATATTACGTATACGCAGGGGCGTGCCGCAACAGCCTCTTCATTTTGCTCAAGCCTAACGACATAATGCGACTGCCAGTGTCGGTGTGTGTGTGTGCGAGTGTGTGTGTGAGCACATGTGAAGTGTGCGTGAGTGTGTATGCCAATGTGTGTTTGTGTGTGGGAGCGTAAGCGGAATTGCTTCAATTTTCGTTTTGCTTAACGGCCACCGTAGACACTTTTCTTTTATTGTTCCTTTTCCATTTGCTGGCGCTCTCTGTCTCTCTCTCTTTTTCGCTGCTGTTATCCTGCTCGCTCTCACAACTACGACAACAATGTTGTCATTATTTTCATGCTGATTTTTATTTTTATCTGCATTTCCATTACCATTTCCACTTCCATTTACCGCCAGAGTCCCGTGCAAAATACTCGGCCATTTTCATTTCGGTTTCGGTTTCCTTTTCCTTTCTTTTTTTATGTTTCTTTTTTTTTTTTGTGACCCGCCCGCCGGTCATAAATCACTCATATTGCCCGATTTAATGGCGCTAATTGCATTTGATACGCAAATGTTCGATTAGGCGCACTCACTAGATTTTGCGGCGCAGTCAATTTCCCAACGAAACTTATTTACATGAAACAAAACAGCTGCCGCTCCCCGGCGTCTCCCAGTTACTTATGTATGTTAATGGGCCTCCGTCCGCAGATTCGGCTTTTGTCCGGGCTCGTAAATTCGGCCTCTGTGATTACACACAGCGGAGGACTATGTGGACTCCGGCGTAGAGTAGGGTGCTTGCTGGGAAGCCCTTCTAATTTATGCGGAATTTTAACAGCTGCCTTTTGCCTAGCCCACGCAGATTTTTGCGTTCTTCCCCGTTGTTTTGGTTTTGGCATATGTGGGGCCATAAATTCGAGGGAAGGCGGTTGCCACCTAGCCAGATTCTATGGGAATAAATAAAATTGCGGGCCAAATCAGCTGACGCTGATTTAAATCAGTTTACGCAGAACTCATCAACAGAATTTATTACACTTGGCCCGCCCGCGGTGAGCGCAGGGGAAATCGTGAAAAATACCCAGCAAAGTGGGCACTTGAGCTGAGAAAAAAGCATCAAAGAGGAAGCCAAGCCGGCGAATAAATAAGTAAATGCCCGACCAAACAATGGTGGCGAAGGTAAACCAAGAAACGGAGGCGGACAAGGAGACGGATGGAGATGGAGACAAAGACGGAGATGAAGCTGGGAAACTGATTAAAAAACAGGCAGAGCTGATGATGGAGATGCCGTGAACCTTGGCATCAGAAGCCGATCCAGTCCAAAGGCCGGGCAATAAAGGCAGGCAGCAACAAAAATTAAATTGAGCCGCAGGTGTAGGCAATTTCCACTCAAACGCTCACTTCAAAAGCGGGAGGCCGAGAGGCCGTGGCCGTGGCGAAGAAGGTCCTGCTTTTGCTTCTGCTCCTCGGCACTTGGCAATGTTTCAATTCCGGGACCGTTGCTTTGACGGCCCGCAAATGGAGCGGAAATGCTCCTGCCGCCCTGCCAACGAAAAGGGGAGGCTGGCTTTAACGAATGTCTGGCATAAATCTTGCCCGGGGATCATCTTACAATCAGCTCAGGCGGAGCTGCAGAGATGGAGCTGGTGCTCGGGGCTACAGCTCACACATTATGCTGCAATTTCCGCTGGGTGGAAATCTAATAAATATAAACAATGCCCCTCACATGTTGCTCATAATTGCCGGGGCTTTGCGGCAAGTGCCATCAGGCCTAATCGCTGGTATTAAGTGCTCAAAGGTGTGGGGGCCTGCCTCCTGATTCCTGCGCTTTGATATTCATAATTCCTATTCTCTAGCAGCGACTATTTATCATGCCCGTAGATCTCCCATTACCAAGAACCATCAGCCATTTCGGCTAATTTCAATTTTCAACCCTATTTCATCCTGCCGGCTGAAGGGGAGGGCATTCGCCCGATAAACAAAAACACAATAAGCAAACAGTCAAAGGCAATCAGTTGGGCAAAAGAACACGGCACAGCCAAGCAAATAAATAAATAAATAAATAAACGGCGGGCGGACGAGCGAGTGAGTGAGGTGGGACAAACAGAAATCAGCAGAAGCAGCAGCATCAAACTAATTCCGAGCAAATAACAAATCATTGCGAGGCCCCTGGAAACTATCTCAAGTTCCACCTACGACCCAGGATAATGCACAGGACAAAAATAAGGATAATAAGTAATATAAATACAATAAACTTACGTTGGGAAGAGCAAGTTGGAAATGAATTATAGGATCTATCATATAGACAAAATCAGAGTTAAAACAAGAAAGAAAGCTAACTTCGGCACGCCGAAGTTTATATACCCTTGCAGATAGAACTTCTATGAATAGGAATCCATACAATATAAATTATATATATTTGTGTTAAAAAACAATGAAGTAATAGCTGCTTTCATTTCATTAACCTATACATATTATATTTGCAGTTTTACATACACAGATTTGCATTTTTCCTCTACATCAAACGATCGTTTGTATGGCACCTATAAGATATAGTCGTCCGATTTTCATAAAATTTGACACAAAATTTAAGACTAATATAAAATAGCTATACCTTAAATTTGATGAAAATCAGTTGAAAACTGAAAAAGTTATAAATTTAATTGTATTAATTTCTCGGTCGTTCCTATGGGAGCTATATGATATATTAGTCCGATTTTCATAAAATTTTACACAAAATTGTAGAGTATAGTAAAATGACTATATCTTAAATTTGATCCAATTCTCTTGAAAACTGAAAAAGTTAAAAAATTTTTGTAAAAATTTTACGATCATTCCTATGGAAGCTATATGATATAGTCGTCCGATCCGGCCCGTTCCGACATATATACGAGTGAGAGTATATAGAAGGCTAACTACAAAGTTTCATTCAGATAGCTTCAAAACTGAGAGACTAGTTTGCGTAGAAACGGACAGACGGACAGACGGACAGACGGACAGAAGGACAGACGGACAGACGGACAGACGGACGTGGCTAGATCGACTCGGCTGTTGATCCTGATCAAGAATATATATACTTTATATAGTCGGAGGTGCCTCCTTCACTGCGTTGCAAACTTCTGACTGAAATTATAATACCCTGCAAGGGTATAAAAAACTCATAACTCAGCCAAAAAGGCATTAATTTCAATTCGGAAACCTTTTCTAAGCTAGTTTTTGTTAGGTTAATAAATCTGCATACTCCATTTAAGGTTTTAGAAGATTCAATTTTTTGCCAATTTTTGCAATTTTTAATGATGTAACCCCTTATGATTTTTGCAAAAATCGAAAAAATGTCGAAATTTTATTTTTTGCCCAGATTGGATTGGATTGATTTAGCTTTCGATGCTGATCAAGAATATATATGATTTTTGGGGTCGGTAATGACTCCTTCATTTGATTTTAACCATCTGACTAATAGTATAATACCCTTTATCTCTATATTCTCATTCATGTTCAGATTAAACATCCTTGAGGTCTTTTCAATTAAGTTTTTGTATTATTTTCCCCTGTGTATTAATAGTGTTCTGTTTCCTCCTTCGTTTACAGATGAATCCATTCTATCCGAGGACCCAACGCCCGCAGAAACGACGCACCATGGCGGCGGTGGTGCGGTCGGAAGCGGCAGCTCCAGCGGATTGGGCACCGGCGCCAGCACGGGCAGTGGACCGGAGAAACAGTCCACGCTGCTAATACTCGCCGCCGTCGTGGTGATAGGCGCCGTTGTGGTGACGTCAATTATCGTGGCCGGCATCGTCGTGGTCTGCCGGCATCGTCCGCGGCCACCTGAGCCGCAGGAGGTGCGCAAGAGCATGCGGTGAGTAAGGGATCTGGTCTTTTGTTTCCATCCAGGCTGGCGGCTGCTGGGGAAAAACTAATAATGAAATTGTTTGCTCCCGGCATGTGTGTGGCTGTGTGTGCAGAAATAATTACGAAATTATTTATGTGGGGCACGTGACTGACAGCCAAAGCGGAAGAATCGCAGAAGATGCCGCGTGGGCGAGTGGGCAAGTGGAAAGCGTAGCATACTTTCCTGCGCATTCCTCGCTTATGCTTATTACGCAGAAAGTAATTAAATGACGGTCGCTAAATCAATTGAGCCTGCTTTAAACTCACCTCACCGCCGACGGAAGGTCGACAGGTTGAGAGGTTGAGAGGTCGAGAGGCCAAATGGCCGCTTGGCCAATCCGACGACCTGGTTAGTGGCGGGTTCATTAAAGCAATTGTCTAAACAGTTTTGGGGCCGCCAATCGATTAGAGCCGTGCACGCACCTGGCCAGTAAATTATGCTTAGTCTGTAATTAAATTAATTAAACCTGCACCTGACGACGACGACCCAGGTCGGGTACCAAAAAAAGAATCGCTATAAACGAGCACCGGAAGCGAGGCGGCAGCCGCACAAGTGAGAGTTTCCATTTAAGATAGGAAATCAGCGCTGTATCCACGAAAGGGTCGCGTCTTCCCCTCTCTGTGGGCGGGTAATTAAGCAGCTGCTTAGCCCCATACCCGCCCCAGCCTGCTAATGAAAGATAAACACAGTGTCCCATCCCCATCCTCGTCCTTGTCCCCGACCTCATCTTCGTCGTCGTCGTCCTTTGTGTCCATGTGGACGGGTCTCTCGACCTGCACCTCTGAACTGGCCTGGGATGGCTCTTTCTTTGATTCGACAAGCGGCACTGGCACTGGCACTGGCTCTGTCGCTGATTGCTCAATAATGAATTCGGGCGACCACTTCAAAGGGGAATCCAACGAAATATTAATTATAGTTGCCGAAAATAGTCGCGGGCACATCAAAGCGAGAACGCATGCGGGTCATTAAATGGTCATCCCGACTGTCAAACGCTCTTCATGTTCGCCCTGCCGTGCCATGTCCGTGCATAAATAAAATTTCATCATCATCATCGGCGCACCTGTGTGGCATTCCGCCATGGCATTTCATTCCATTCGATGGTATCACCCCGTTTTCGGTTCCGTGGCATGTGCGGCTATGCATAAATTTTAATGATTTGCCTTTTGCGGCAAAGTATTAGTGCAAATATTTGATGCCGCCGATAAGAGACAGCGATAGAGTGCGGCGTAATTAGCGTTCCCAGCGGCAGTTGGTTTATATTTAATTTACAATGGACCATCGAGCAGGCTGATTAAAAGTTCTCGAGGCTTCTCCAGAGAAATGGTTATATTTTTGCCGATATATATATGTATTTATCATTCAAATGGTGAAGTCGATATACGCACAGCTCTTGCTATCGGTGTATGAATATTACGCATCCGCCCTTGGCTCCCCCAGCAAGAGAATGAATTTATTTTATTTATTTCGGCAACGTTTCTGCCCCAAAAGCAACCGGAAAAGTTGCTAGGCATCCCCAGGTGGCAACTGCAGGTTTTGAATGCTGCTGTTTATATTGAAATTTCGAGTCGCCTGAGAGCAGGCACACCGGCTTAGTTTGTCCACTTTGCTAAGCTGTTTCTTTTTATATACATACACACCGCCAAAACAAGTTGCCAGGAAAAAGTGGTGCTCGCCTTGGGAACTATTAGCAAGTTGTGTGAAGCAGGCAGGCAGGCAAACTGAACTTTTAATAGATTTTGACGACCATTTTTCAATTTGTTTATTTTTCGCAGGCCGGCGCGCATCGATGTGCCCAGCATGTACATCGAGGAGGATGAGCTAAACGAGCTGGAGGAGGGCGGCGGACGAGCGGCGGAGATTAGGGCGCGAGTGGCCCCGCCCACGGCACACCTGTGCGGAGGTGGTGTCGGTGTACCCGGCGTTGGATCCAGTGGCGGAGCCATTGTGGGCGTGGCCGGGCCCCATCACTACATCTCCGAGAGCTTCATCCAGTATGCGCAGCCCAGTCTAAACGGTACTATTCCAAAATCTATACTCAACCGACTGTAGCCGTAGAAGTATCTGTATCTGTAGCCGTACTCGTAGTCGTAGTCAAGTAGCCATTAATTTATCTATACATCCGCCACTCTGCGTGTGCATCCCCAATCGGTTCGCTCGCTCAAGGACCTTTCAGTTTGCGACTCGATTGCCACTTGATATTAATTTGTAGTTGTAGCTTAAGTTTTAGTTGATTGATTTGCCCAATTGAATTTATTGCTGTATGTTTATGTAAATAGTCCACCTGCACAGCTCACCCGAACACGTTGCCTCGTAGCCATTATGTAGATTGGTTTAACATCTTGTTTAGTCACAATGCAATAATGAATAAATTGTCGGAGCCACAAGCACTTATATTTTTCAACCGACAGCTGACCGAATGTTTTGTGTTTTTGTGCGAAACGAATGTTTAGTTATGTTTTGTTTTGTTGAGTACCCGTGAGCATGTGAGTAGAGCGCTTGTGGGGTGCCATTTAGGGTGCGAGGACTTTGGCATTAAACAATTTGGTTGGCTTGAGTCCGTGCTAATGATGCGGTTGCATATCAAATTGCCTGCCAACCAATGAGAGTGGGTGAGCACGTGTAAATGAAAAACTAATTGCCCCTCATTTGGCATTCACAAAAGTAGCTTATGACATGTCGAGTACACTCTCTACCAATTAGCGCTGATCAAAGTATTTAATTTTGTTGCATTCGATTTGAATTTGAATTTCAATTTGATTTCAATTTGAATGAGTTGAAGCGATTAGTTGGAGTATCCGGAAGGATATATCCCCACTAGCCGGGCACCCGAAGTAATGAGTAACCAGTAACTAGCTCCACTTTAACCCTAGCCATAACATAGTTCTCTGCCTCTCCCCCTCACAAATCTTCTCTCTGTCTCTCTGCCTTCGACTTTCTCTGTAGGTAGCGAAACACTCTCCACTCGCCTTCCAACTGTCTTAATCCTCGACTTGAAGTTGTAAATACCTTTGCCCAGTACTTAAAGCCATGTATAGTAGTGTGCCCCCTGCCCCCTCACACGTAAACGAGTTCATCCTGAGAGTCGCCGTCCTCCTAACCGTAACGTTCCCGTTATCCATCCAACCAGGCGATGTGCTGATGCCCCTGCTCGCAACGTCGTCCGGCCAGCCTCGCAGCGTGTCCGTAGTCCTGGCCACAGCTGCTCCACTTGCTGGGAACCCCTGTTCTGGGAGCCGAAACACAGCCTGGCCGCCCAAATGTATGCAAAGTAAATTTTATGTAACTAAATCTGTGCAGCAGGTCGAAGCAAGCATACAGTACCAGTACGAGTACGAGTACCAGTACCAGAAACAGAAACAGAAACAGAAACAGCACGAAACACAGATACTCAAACAGAAACAGGAACAGAAACAGGACCAACTGCAGTTGCAACTGCAGCTGCAGACCCGGCCACAGATGGCCAGTCATGTTTGAGTGCCAAGTCCCTGTCGAAATTGGCATGATGCAGAGACTGAGGTGGAGGCTGAGGAGGAGGGATTGAATACTTTTAATATGCCCTGCATACCGAGGACCCCGGCTCCGTTCTTGCTCCATTTCACATTTTAATTTGTCGTCCATTTGACATCCCAATTTACTTAGCTTGTGTTGCGTTGTAGCTGCCACATCTCTTGCATTCACATGTCTGTCATCAGATTTCCTTTTTTCACTTTGTGCATCTGTAATTATTCGGCAATGGCTTTGTGGCCATGCCAATGCCAATGCCAATGCCAGTGAATTGGCCAAAAGCTTCCATTCATTCATTTGCCACGATTCAGCAAGTACAGTCGGCCTCTCAAAAGTCATCCGGATAAGGGATTCGTCTGAATGGATCACAGAAATTAAATAAAAACTAATTGAAGCTTACGAGTTTTCGTCTCCCATTTCGGCTGGCCAATCACTGTCAAATAGATGCCGGAGTTTAGGCAAATATTGTTTTTAAAACGGATAACTGCACCACACACACCATGGCCATGGATGAGCGTGTTTGCATAGCCATTGTTTTTGTTGACATTGCTGTTTATTTCTCTGCCATTCTTCCCGCTTAGCACCCCTTTGTGAGTTGCTCGGAGTGCAGTGCCAAGTCCTGGCGATGTTTTGCATAAATTTCAAAGAGCAGCAGCAGTAGGAGACGCCCTGGCAAACAAACACATGTACTCGGCACAAACATGCCTCAGACAGCAACAAATTTGCAAAAATATTCCCAGCTTTAACCTCTCCGTTCCCATCTGCTCGCTCTGTTTGCTGTGCGAGCTCATGCAGACTTTGTTTTAACTTTGAATTGCATAAATTTTAATTATTTCGAAAGCACTAAATTAAAACACAAAAATAAGCACAAAGGCACACACACACACTCACAAATAGAGAGTGCGGGAAAGAGAGACATCAGCCGAGCAGAGCATGACGTGCCGTCATGCTGGCAAATGCAAATATTATTTAATGGGCAGATGTGTCGTATACGTGATATTATTGCTAACACAACATGTCCCGCCCGCTCCCTGTCCTTCCCTGCTCTGCCCTCCTCTGCTGCCTTGGTTCCGTTGCGTGGGCTCAAATGTCACAAATTAGCTAAATTTGATTTTGTCAGCGATTTAATTTTATATTTTCATTACTCTCAGTCTGTTGTCCCTTCTCTCGGATATTTGTTGTTCCTGTTTTTTTTATACACTTTGCAGGGTATTGTAATTTTAGTCAGAAGCTTATAACTTAGTGAAGGATTCATTTCCGACCCCATAAACCATATATATTCTTGATCAGCATGAAGAGCTGAATCAATCTAGCCATGTCTGGGCAAAAAATAAAATTTCGACATCATTTCGATTTTTGCGAAAAATCATAAGGGGTTACATCATTAAAAATTGCGAAAATTGGCCAAAAATTGAATCTTCTAAAATCTTAAATGGAATATGCAGATTTATTAACCTAACAAAAACTAGCATAGAAAAGCTTTCAGAATTAAAATTAATGATTTTTTGGCTTAGTTAAACTTTTTTAAACTATGATTTTTTGACAAAAATTGTCTGTTTTTATACCCCTTTGCAGGATTTTATTATTTAAGTCAGAAGCTTATATTTGCACCAACAAACGCAGTATGCAGATTTGTTAGTGCTTTAAAAACTCGCACAGAAAAGCTTTCCAAGTTAAAATATATGCAATTTCGGCCTATTTATGATGTCCGAAAAACTTGGATTTGGTATAAAAATTGTCTCTTTTTTATACCTTTTTGAAGAATATAATTTAAGTCCGAAGCATGAAACGTAATGAAGGAGTCAGTTCCGACCCCATAAACCATATATATTCTTGATCAGCATGAAGAGCTGAATCAATCTAGCCATGTCTGGGCAAAAAATAAATTTTTGCCATCATTTCGATTTTGCGAAAAATCATAAGGGGTTACATCATTAAAAATTGCGAAAATTGGCCAAAAATTGAATCTTCTAAAATCTTAAATGGAGTATGCAGATTTATTAACCTAACAAAAACTAGCGTAGAAAAGCTTTCCGAATTAAAATTAATGATTTTTTGGCTTAGTTAAACTTTTTTAAACTATGATTTTTTGACAAAAATTGTCTGTTTTTATACCCCTTTGCAGGATTTTATTATTTAAGTCAGAAGCTTATATTTGCACCAACAAACGCAGTATGCAGATTTGTTAGTGCATTAAAAACTCGCACAGAAAAGCTTTCCAAGTTAAAATATATGCAATTTCGGCCTATTTATGATGTCCGAAAAACTTAGATTTGGTATAAAAATTGTCTCTTTTTTATACCTTTTTGAAGAATATAATTTAAGTCCGAAGCATGAAACGTAATGAAGGAGTCAGTTCCGACCCCATAAACCATATATATTCTTGATCAGCATGAAGAGCTGAATCAATCTAGCCATGTCTGGGCAAAAAATAAATTTTGCCATCATTTCGATTTTGCGAAAAATCATAAGGGTTACATCATTAAAAATTGCAAAAATTGGCCAAAAATCGGTTTTTTGTAAATATTAGGTGAAGGATTCATTTCCGACCCCATAAATTATATATATTCTTGATCAGCATCGAAAGCTGAATCAATCTAGCCATGTCTGGGCAAAAAATAAATTTTTGCCATTATTTCGATTTTGCGAAAAATCATAAGGGGTTACATCATTAAAAATTGCGAAAATTGGCCAAAAATTGAATCTTCTAAAATCTTAAATGGAGTATGCAGATTTATTAACCTAACAAAAACTAGCGTAGAAAAGCTTTCCGAATTAAAATTAATGATTTTTGGCTTAGTTAAACTTTTTAAACTATGATTTTTTGACAAAAATTGTCTGTTTTTATACCCCTTTGCAGGATTTTATTATTTAAGTCAGAAGCTTATATTTGCACCAACAAACGCAGTATGCAGATTTGTTAGTGCTTTAAAAACTCGCACAGAAAAGCTTTCCGAGTTAAAATATATGCAATAGATTTGGTATAAAAATTGTCTCTTTTTTATACCTTTTTGAAGAATATAATTTAAGTCCGAAGCATGAAACGTAATGAAGGAGTCAGTTCCGACCCCATAAACCATATATATTCTTGATCAGCATGAAGAGCTGAATCAATCTAGCCATGTCTGGGCAAAAAATAAATTTTTGCCATCATTTCGATTTTTGCGAAAAATCATAAGGGGTTACATCATTAAAAATTGCGAAAATTGGCCAAAAATTAAATCTTCTAAAATCTTAAATGGAGTATGCAGATTTATTAACCTAACAAAAACTAGCGTAGAAAAGCTTTCCGAATTAAAATTAATGATTTTTTGGCTTAGTTAAACTTTTTTAAACTATGATTTTTTGACAAAAATTGTCTGTTTTTATACCCCTTTGCAGGATTTTATTATTTAAGTCAGAAGCTTATATTTGCACCAACAAACGCAGTATGCAGATTTGTTAGTGCTTTAAAAACTCGCACAGAAAAGCTTTCCAAGTTAAAATATATGCAATTTCGGCCTATTTATG